GCTTGTGCAGACTCGAAGCTTCAGCAGAGATAACTCAGGCTCTCTGACAAGTCTCAACTTTTCCAGAGATCTACAAGTTCCCTATAAATCAAATCCCTATAAACCATCTTGGAGACTAGATATCCTTTCTTGTGTTGGATGGAATAGAAGCCTGGGAGTGGACAACTAAATTGATGCTTAAGTATGTTTAAACACTCTCACTTATGCTATACATGTACTTCTGTGTGTAATATTTTGACACACATGATGCAAATAGCAGTCAGAACACTTTCACTAAATTAATTTTTCTTCCAGTTCATTGAATAACTTGACAGATGTTAATTGCAGCACAAAGCTCACCTGACTGATTTTTCTCATGTTTTAAGGAAAATAAAAACCTATGATATTAATGTCAGAAGAGGAGGATGTTGCCTGATGTTGAGAAGACTTATTTAGTCCTTAGTCACTTGTGCCCAGAAATTTATTAGTCATGGTAATGTCTCCAATTAGTTGAAGGACAGAGAGCATAATGGGGGCACTTTTTTTGCCTAATTACTGTTAGCTGTGTACATGCAGTTTACTGTTGAGTTTATGAGGGCAGTTGAAGTGTTACAACAACAACCATCTTAAGAAGTGAGGTCTCTTTCTTATTTATAAAATCATTAAAATCAGAATTAGCACCTGCATTAATAGATGCAAAGTAGCACTGTGTTATGGAACAGAAATGTTTTAATGTTTGATGATGTATTTTTGTTAGAAATCATAATCTCAAACGTTCTGAAAAAGACATTGAGTGAATCTAGCTGGAACAACTATATTTATAGTAAATGGAGAGATGATCAAGTATTACGTTCTGTGTATAGTGAAATAACCTTTAGATGAACTTGGAAAGGAAAGGAATTCCTCTTTAATTAAGTTTATCTTTCTTCTTGGGGTTGTGAAAGAGACGGGAAAGTGCTACCATTAAAGTGGGAGTGGAGTTAATTGACATTAATCTTCATAGGTTTCTTAGATTTATTTTAATGGCAAAGAAGTAAAAAAGTCCTCAGCCAAAGTTAAGTGTCACTAAATAATTGAATGGCATACCTGAATTTAACATATTATTTTCTGGTTTAGAATGAAATTTGCTGCCTTCTGTCTTTCCTTCTATCCCATTCCAAACCCTGGAGAAAATGCTGGAGATACACAGAAACTCGGTAAAAGATTAACTAGTTTTGACCCATCTTGTTTTCTAAATGAATGTTTCTTTATAGAATATGGTCTAGCAAGGTCGATTAGATCCCAATAACACCATCTCAACTGATCCTGCCCACTTTGTACATCTGAAGGTATTTCAATCTTTACAACAAACTAATTCAAACCTGTTTGGCATGACAAATATTGGCCATTCAGATTCCTAGAAGTGAATATGTACACAGTGCCTGTACTGTTGCCTTCACGTGGCTAGGTGCTCTTTTGAGGGAGCTTTGTGTAACTCCCCCCAAACCAACTGGACTGACAATTCAAGTTGGCAGGTGGTATACTCTGCTTCACTGGAGGGTGTACAAAAGCCTTTCTATATATTCTGGTCACTTCCTTCTTCCATCCAGCATCATTCCTTCTTACCACAGCCTTGATGCTGCACATCAGTGGCTGTGATTTAGGAATCAAAACTGTAGAACTGAGTGCCATCAGCATTTCAGAGATACTGTAGTCTTTATTACACACGTGGTGATCTTGGGCACATTTTAAAGAAGAGTTTAAAAACTGGTATTCAGGTAGTGAGATGGAATAATCTCAGTCAATCACCTCTGAAAAGGAATAGAGTAAGAATAGTTGTTTTCACCATGTAGAACAGCAATCATTCAGGTCTTCCACATTTTGTTACATTATTGTCTGATTCATGTTGGTTCCCTTGCCAGTTAAGTGAATGGGTTACTGAATCACAAGCTCTTGTTGGCCTTCTGTACCAGTAGAGAAGTCAGTTGTGTTTCTTTTCTAGTGGTTGGCACTTTTTCCAGTGTACAATAGATAAAAAAAAATAGTTCCATGTAAATGGTTAGAAATGCACATTTTAAACCGAGACTCGTCAGACACTAAGTAAAGAAGGGTTGCCTCTAATAAAACTATCCTCTTAAATGGATTTATTTACTAGTGTCAGGAAAATCGTTCAGATGTTGGGATGGAATTTTTCCCTCTCCTCCAGGAATTGCATTAATAGTTTTCTGTAAGCTGTCATTGTATACTTATTTGCAGTTCATAGTTTTAAAATTAGAGGAGGACCAGAGGTCCTACAATTAAATAAATCAGAAAGTGAAAAAATGAAGAGTGAAACTTGAAATGTGTTTTTATTTTCATTTCTTTTCCTTGTAAATTTCAAGTTTATTCCAATATAGTAAATAGTAGAAAAAAGCCAAGTGGAGATCAAGGTGCTCAGAGAGATTTTGCAGCTTCCATTTTTGGATGTCTGCAATAACCAACTGATCAAGCCATGAGCATCCTGCTGTGCCCTCAGAGCAAGCCCTGCTTTGAGGAGGAGGCTGGACTAGAGAGACTTCTCGTGATCTCTTTCTGATGTGATTTGTCCTGTGAATCTATAAATGAAATTAAGGGCTTTGAAATGTCAGGATATTCAAGTGACTGAGAGTTGAGGTGTTGTGGCTGTAACTTCTATTTGGTTTAGGTGGTCATGGCATGACCTCTTGTACTTTCCATTTTGGCTAAATCTCTGCTGTTCTTAATAGCATTGTGGAAAAAAACATTAAAGCAGAACAAAATAGTGTCATAATCACTTCAAATTCTCTGCAAATAACTGGGCTGATCCAGAGAATCAGGTGCCCTGTATCTGTAAGGAACTCTGTTAATTTCACTATTCTATCTGCTTTTTATGGGATGGAAGACAAAATGAAGAAGGTCAGTTTTGTGATGGCTATGTCTCTTTCCTTAGAGAGCTACTTATAAATTAACTTTTAACTCCTCATCATCTTAATGCCTCCGGGAAAAGGCTGGGATTGCCTCTGTACTCTGAGCAACTGTAAGCTAATTTATAAAGTAATTAGATGCCAAAAGGTGCAAGCAGACCATAAATAGATGTATTGAAAAAAAATTAAAAAATTGTGTGGCAACAAAACATGAAAAGGATGGCAATAGGTAGTTCTGAGGGAAAAAGAGTGTACATTTACAAAACTTAGCTTCCTAGTTTTAGTGCTCCCATTAGTGGGATCCTGCTAATGGGAAATGTTAAATATTTAATATCTGACATTTCTCTAATGTCTATGTAGTGCAGTAAAGATTAAGTATTTTATGGTACATTTCAATTTAAAAGAATGAAAGCGCTTTTCATGTTGTTATGAGGAAGCTGTCAGTGAGCCTCGTATTTAGACTGTGCATTACTTTCCACTATAATAGACTCTTTCAACTTGTTTGCTGCAAGCTAGGTATGAAAGCTCTGATATCCAAACAGTGCCTTTTGTTCATCCTCTGGGAACTACTGAGCTGTGGCAATTTCTGTCGTGCTTCCCAAATTCAGCAGGCATGCCATAACCACTAAGAGCTTCCACAGCAATGACAGTTTTGATTTTCAGTGAGACCTGCTAGTGTTATCCAAGAGGTGATGCAAGGCCTTTCTATTACAGACTGGTTTGAGGCATTCCCACAAAGGACTGCAATAAAAAGGCAGGCATGCCTTCTCTTACTCTGTCCTTTCCTGACTTTTTCTGTCCTTTCTTCACATGGAACATACCACATGGAAGGTAGTCTTCTTTCCTGTAGTAAATTTGCTGAAAATTTCCACTCTTAGTTTTGAGGGCAGCATATGTCTAATTTAGAAGCCCTTAATAAAGCAGTAACATTTTTAGTTTTGGTGTATAATGTGAATTGGCACAAGGATAGTAATTTAATTCTTTTCTTTTACTGGAATATTGTACTTCTGTTAATATTTGATCTGATTTATAGGGGCTGTATATTTTCTGTAATTGCTAGCCAGTGTCCATTTGTGAAGGTGAGTTGTGTGACTGTTAGTTACTGCTATCAGTCTCATGCACTTTGTTTGACCTCAAGCCTATAGCACTGCCTTGAAATAAACTGGATGAGTAATATAGCTTGCAGTTTTTAGCACTAGAGGAATACTGAAGTCCATACTCATTTGATTGAAATGAAAAGAAAACTACTTTCAGGCATTCTTTGACCTTTTGGTGATATTTGAGTGAATTTGCAGATGCAATGAAGGTATTGCAGTTTTTTTAATGATCTAGGGATTAGCTATCTATTGCTGCTTATCTAATTAAAAGATAGATAATGAATGTGTAATTATTTTCCCTGTGCAATTGTTTCATCTTGATAGAGTAGGTAGCTAACAAATGGTCTGAAAATGGTATGCCATTCCTTTCAGTCAGCTATACCATGTGTACATACAGATACATAATTGACATATGTCTGCAGTTTCTGCTTCTGCTAATGCTTCGTTGTAGCACATGGATGTAATGTTTGCTTGCTTGAAATGTGAATGGAGTTTAATAAATATGCAAGTCTTATTTTTTCACATCATATAACAGAGGCTACTAGGAAGGAGATTCTGTTGATGCTCTTTAATGTAGCATACAGTAGTTATGCTATTATGAAGATTAAGCATCTCTTAGAAATATTAGCAGCATCACTTGCAAAAGAAATGCATGTAGGGAAAAGCTTTGGAATTACATGTTTGTTTTAAAATAGGAAAAGGCTGATGGTAAGATGATGCCTGCTGCTGCTTTTAAAGGTTTGACTCATGGCTTGAGTTTTCTATATGGGTGATGTGTAAATGCCTCTATTAACACACTCCTCACTACCATAAAACAAAGTGTTGGTAAATATATATGTATTGTAAAATAAGGGCTTGCTTCTTTCTTTTGGCAAACAGAATGCATTTATCTTTTCACAAACTATTCTAAATGGTGTTCAATATCTTATCTCTTTCTTCTCCAACTCTTGTGTATTCAGTTTCACTGTGTCTTGTGTTTTTCCCAGTCTTGTTGTTTATTTTTTTTTTTAATCACACAACATAGAGCTGATAAAGCAGATGATGAGGATGATGAAGATCTAACCGTGAATAAAACATGGGTCCTTGCACCAAAGATTCATGGTGGTGATGTAACTCACATACTGGACTCCTTACTTCAGGGATATGACAATAAGCTTCGGCCAGATATTGGGGGTAAGCTCATAAAATGATTCAGTGTAATAGAAAATGTGAACTAGAGATGGTGTGCATTTTGTCAAAGATGGAAAAACTATGTTTATTGCAATACGTAAAACTCAATATAGCAAGATAAATATAAGAATAATAAAATGAAATAATTTTCTGGAACTAGTAAAAAAAATTCTATGCAATTTTAGACTTCATGTTCTATTTATAATCTTTTTTTTTTCATATGGAAAGTACTGGTTTTGGGGGGCAGTGAGCAATCTGTAATACATCACTAAAAGGCAATTATAATTTGCTTTGTTTAACAAAGATCTTCTGTCAGAAAGAATTGTAGATATAAGCCAGCCATGGTCATTTCAAAAATTGATCTTAAATCTGTAGGACTTCATTAAATAATCATCCCTAGACATTTTATTCTTACTGTAGGAAATGCATTGTGTCTATTTTGAGCAAATATAACTCAACTCAATTGTCTTCTTTCCTTAACTAAGATTTTGAAAAAAATTTCAAGAACCTAAAAATAAAACTTAGGACCCATTTTTTCTAGTGGAATATAGGAAGAAAAATTGCATTGCTATAGATCAAACTTTGCAGCTAGTGAGAAGGCAATTTTGTCTTTCAATAGTCAAAACATCAATTTGCATATAGCTATTAAGCGTAAATATTTGGAAGAATCTTGTTTTGAAAACATCTAGTACATGACACCTTGCCAGCTGCTATCTACCCCTTGCATGCAGGATCAAATAAGAAAAGCAATATATTTTCTCTGAGTTTGTTTCCTGAAATGTGAAGGAAGAGGTGGAAGACATAAGTATTTGTGATGTACCTGGCACTCCCTACCAAAGCAATGCCATGTGAGTCTGTAAGCTGCTTGTATGTTGAACAGCACAACAATCTAGACCTGTCTCATTTATGTAGGGGAAGAAAAAGATGCAATCTCAAACTGTGCATTTTCCTTTGAGTGTTTCTGACAAATTGTTTTCTTTCCCAAACTTCTGTGATCTGTTTTATTGGTGACTGTTATCTTGGAGATGTTGAAAGGCAATAATTCTCTCCCTGTCATAATATAATCACATGTGAATCTCATAAAGTTTGGTTAAAGTCTTTTTCTTCATGTTCATTTAATTAAATTACTACAAACATTTAGACAACACAAAAAGTCCTCCAGCACGTTTTTTCTTAAATGTTCAGTGTGTGACAAATGTATGGCTTACTGTTCGTTTTTTCCCGTTTGATGCAACAGACAGAAAAGTGATTATGGGGAAATAAACTGTCTCTTCTAGAATTCCTTCTAATGATTAGCTTGTAGGTGGGGATGAAAGAAAAGATAATTATTTTTCTCTCCTCTCCCCATAAAATTTACAAGTAAATGGAGCAAATACAGAGGAGGAATTTATTCTGACATTTTGAATGCATTTAGATAGGCATGGAAAAATTTTGATTTTGCCTTTATTTTTCGGGTTCTATTCTGCATTGTGATAGGACAAAAACTCAGTCTTTTTGTGAGTAACTCAATGTGCAGCTTTTTGGATTCAAAATATTAGTTCTCAAAAGAAGACACTTAGTTCTAGCTTCTGTCACATAAATGTACCCTTTCTCTTCTCAAAAGTTCTGTACCAATATGACCTTTGCTATCTGGGGTCTGCCTTGATCCACTATACTAGAACATAAAGTTCATGAATAATCAGCCAGAGTAATGAAAAAAAATGGAAGCATTTGGGACTATTCACTTTGTTTTGAGCAGAACAAATGTTAAGTATGATTCTGCCACAAGGAAGAAATTTTGGACAGCATAAGATGAAATTTCTGACTTCAGGTGAAGGCACTACATTCTGTCCAGTTGTTTGGGAACTGCAGCAGATATTTCTTAGAGAGAAAAACAAAATCAGGCTAAAATTTATTCATCTTAATCTGCTTCAAATACATGGATAAAATCTGGTGTCAGATTCCTTTCTTCAGCATGTATGTCCATTCTTGTACAACAAGGTTATTGAACTGGAATTTTCATTATCTTTCAAACCATTAGTATCCCACAGAACATTCTTATGATTGAATTACAAAGCTCATTTACAATAGCAACATTTTTCGTTTAGAACTTGGACTTTTTGGGTTTTAATCTCAGAGCAGAGTTTTGTTTTCTTCCTGGTGTTGATGCAGAATTTCAGCATGTCAGAGCGAAATAAGAGTTTCATTGTTAAACATGTAGTTAGTTGAGGGAGATGCTAAAGCAGAGCCAAATGAAAATTGAAGCTTTGGAGGCAATATTGAAATTTAATCGGGGAAAAGCACTCTCATTTTCTGTCTGTCTTATTCAAATATCCATGAGTTTTAGTTATTACTTAATCTTACTAGTCTCTACCTCAATTTATGTAGTAGGCTTGAGGTGTTTGGAGCATAAAAGTTCTAGTATTCTTCTACTCAGTATGAAGTAATAGTAGTTATCAGATAAAGTCTCCTATCTGTGGTATAAATACCTTTAATTACAGATACAACCTTGGAGTGTTGATATACTAATACAGCAGTATTATTCTCACTGTAACATTACCTTTTGGCTGCATGATTCTATAACCACACTGTTCTAGCTCTAGTTCTGCATCAAAGTAGCTATTATTTTTGAACTTTCCTTTTTAAAGGAAAGAATTCTGGCTGCTCATTTTTCACCTCTCTCATCTTAGGGACACTGATATATTAATATTGTCCTATCAATGCTATGGATCCTATCATTTTTGCCAGCAATGATGTATGTATAGGTGAAAGACAACTGTGCTATCTGAAAATTTATTAAAAATAGGAAACAGCCATCACATATCTACAACTTTAGTGTGTGTTTTCAATTAACAGAGTAAGACAAATCATCATTGATGGAAATTTTTAAAATGGTGAGAATTTAAGGATAATTGCTCATGTATGTTTTTGGATAGTTGTTATTGTCCTATAAGCAGGGCGTGGGTAAATATTTACATATGTCAAGTGCACAAATGTGAATAGTCATGTTCTAAGAGATATAAAGAATACATGGAAAATAGAGGACTTTCAAATAGGAGTACTAATTCTCAAAAAATAAGGGTATTAGAAGGTATTCTGTTGAACAGGTGCTCTTAGTGTAGCAGCAATAAAAGTATGATATAGGCAGAAAAGTAATAAGTTCAAACTGATGCCTAAAGATTTTTTTATTTTTATATCTATTTTGCATATATTTGTAACTTTGCAGACTGTTAATACGTAGTTATAACTTCTAGTACTTTTCCTGACCTCTCCCATATTTTAACAAATTCTTACTAATACATTACTGAAATTCTGTTTATTAGTCTAGCAAGGACTTTGTTTTGCACTGTACGCTGCAGACACATTAAGGCTGAGGGCTAAAAGGTTTGGGGAGGGGGCTCCAATGGAACAGAACCTGGGGGAAATTACCTAACCAACTGTTCTTCTAATTGAACAATATTTGCTAGATATACTAGTTAAGTAGCCTTATAAAAAATCGTAGAAATACTGTATCACATGTGCATATGGTCATATTGTGCCACTGTGAAAGCTTTCCATTAAAAATTTGCTTTTACATTATCATTTTGACACTGTTTGGAAAGGCTTTGAGTTTTATTCAAGGCAGCAAAACAAGTAGGAGAATATCACGGAAAGGTAGAGAAAGAGAAATGTATTTTGTGTTTAAGAATCTCTTCCAAGAATTGAAGAAAATCAAAATACAAGAGCTAGATGTAGAAGCATATATTCAGGGAATGTTGAAGATGTTGGATGTGTGCACTGCATAGAAAATCACAGAAATAATAAAAGTGGTGGGATAGGAGTAGCTGCCAAAGATGGATTTCTTTAAAACAGAAGGGTAAAAAATTTGGAGAACAGGGCTCTGCTTTCATCAAAATCACTTTGAAAAAATTCTTCAGAGGTTGACCTGGAAGCCTGCTGAAGACACTTGAGGCTGAATTTTCAATATAGGTAGCCATACAAGTGATAATCTTAGATAGGTGATTGTGAGAATTGCATTATTCCATTAAAAGTTATTACAACCTGAAGGACTCTTATTTCTGAATATGGTAGTCACCTAATTTATTTGCTGAATAACTGCTTTATCACTATAGGGGATGCTTCTTTAGGCAAGTAATGAGCAAAGAAATGCTCAAAGAAAATAAGCCTGGATGAAGTTACAAAAGTGGTCTTCGTTAAAGAGCATAATAAGTACTAATTAAAGACAAAGGTGATGAGACTTAGTCCTTCTTTAGAAAATGAGAGAATTGTGGCAAACTATGGGGACTGGTTAGTGAATGTAGATGGGCTACCATGCTCTTGGTTAATATACTGAAGTAATGGATTGGAGGAATGAAAATAGCAGTATTAAGCAATAAAAAGTGCAATGTTCTGGACTTTTACAAGGATGATAATTATTTCTGTCAGGAGATAGGTGTTTATAAAATGAGAATAGCTGATGAGAAGAGCTCGTAAGTGTAGCAAGAAGAGATATATCAAATATCAAAAGCTGAAAACTGAGCCTGCAAAAATAGAGGCTAAAAACCAGGCACTTTGAAAGTGAGGGGAAATTAGTAAGATAGTTTGTCAATGATTGAGGTAGATTTTTATCACTATGACTTGTCTAATCAGGAATAAACATTTTTCAAAATTTTTAAAACCAGAAGAAGTTTAGTCTAGTGAAAAAAAGTCAAAGTAGGAAATCAGAAAGTGAGTATATATCTCTAAAATTGGCTTACCAAACAGGTTCCCTGTGACCTTGTGGTCAGATGCTCCTTTGTGTTCTTCTTTCTCTGTCACCCCTTCCCTCTTGAATATGCACTCTGTTGCCTTCTCACCTTCTTGCCTGCATCATACTGTCTTTCAGTGTAAATATTTAAAGTGTTCAAGCCCTTTCTCCCCTTGTTGAGAGCACTGATGCACTTCATGCAGAATGTGTTAAATAGCCTTCTCCTTACTTGCGGTGTTTTCAGGGCTGATACCAAGTTTTAAAATAAAATAAGAAGCAGTCAGGCTAGGAAAATCTTCCCAATTTGTTATTTTCTTCTCCAAGTATCAAGAAGGTATTTTCCTCCAACATTTTCATGAACTCTTACTTCAATAACACTAGAAGTATCAATTAATCCTTCTAATTTGGAAGCACATGTCTCTGTATTATACAGGAGAACTAAGGTAACAAAATAGTTTCTTCCAGTCCTCTTGAATTTGGTTTCTTTCTCTGGACCATTTATGTCAATTAAAATAATTTCAACAGAGGCAGATTTTCAAACTGTTCAGTGTCTCTTAATACCCTTAATAATCTTACTCAAAATAGTATGGAAAAGGCAAAATGAACTAAGTGGCTCACTACAGGAAAGCCCTTGTGGCAGATAAGTACTGCATGATGCAAGTTGGAATTTCTTAAAATTGACACAGCCCCCATTAAAAGCCGCGTCACTGACAGCTCGAAATTTAGTTGTTAATACGGAATGCCAGTGTTTGGGATATCTATAGTGTGGTCTCATAAGAAAGTTTTAATAAAGAATAATGACATTTTTGAATGATTTTAGCAATTAATTTTTGTTGTAATGCTGGGAGATGACACAAAGACTATTGGAAAGGGAGTGGCTGCATCTGCAGTATAATTAGAATTGAGAGGGGGAAAGAAAGGAGGTGGAGGGGAAGAATCCTGTGAGTTGTATTTCAAGGTGAGATTCTTCTTAATGAAGTATTCAACATTACTTGAGGTATAAGGCAAGATATACTTTAATCCATCTACTGGTATTCTGTTCTAGCAGTGGGGTTGATGTTATAAAAGTAAATAGGATTTCAAATTAAAGGAAGAGGATATCTGTTTGCAGAATGTGATGTATGTTAAAAGGATTACCTTATACATATGACTATATACACACATTATAAACTTTTTTCTTACTCTGATATTTCAGTCTGTGTGTATGAGTTCTTCTGCTGTCTGCCTTTCTTTGTGAGCTCTGCAAATTGGAAACATTTGCAGCTCAGAATCAAAGGATAACAGAATTATAGGATATTTTGAGTTGGAAGGGATCCATAAGGCTCATTGTAGGAAGTATTTATTTTTTCCCCCAGGAAATAAATTGGTTTCCAGAATCTGTTTAAACTTTCTGCGAAGCATGCTGGGGACAGGATGGTGATCAAGTGACTCTGTGCTCTGTGGTCATACAGAAAAGCCTTTGTGCAGCCTCACTAGTGTGTCTTCCTGTCAGGCTTAGGTTCACACCTTTAACCAGATTTGGAATCAGGGAGAATTTCCTCCCAGGTGAGCTTGGCAGGGAAAAGGTATCTTGGGATATTTAGGAAATGCATCTTGCCTGTCATTGTAGCTGGCAAGGATGTCAGTGTACAGTCTTTCTGTATATCTGTCTCAGTTTTCAGAAATTGGAAAACTTTTCTTACTTAAGATTTTAGGTTGTTGTTAAACGCTTGGTGAATTTCTGAAGTTTTGCTGTATGAAAGAATTAAATCTGATGACCTAGGGTCCCTCTCCTATAAAATAAAAATGCCTTTTTGCTTGTACCTTCCCACTTTTTTATCTGCAGTTGAAATAGATGCTTATTTTATTGTGTCATATCATAAAACGTACCAGCAGAGCTCTGTTATTATTATCCCTCTTCATTCCATTGGATACAAAGACATATATCCTCTTCTGTCCACATTCTGTTTCTCCAGCACAAATTAGAAGAAAATGCTTGTTAATATGATGAAATTAAAATGCTTTCTCTCCTCTTTCATTTGTGCCTTTTTTTTTTTCTGTATAAACCAGTTAGGAGGAAAAAATGAACTGTCAGAGTTTCCTGTACTTCAGGTGTGCCTTTCATGGACGCTCTAGGACTTTGTGTCCTTCAGTAAATGCACAAAGTAGAGAGTACACTCTGTAATGGAATATTTTTTTAAAGTTTTAAAAACAGTGACTGTGTTTTCCCTGTTTTTAAAGAAAACTAGCTTTGGCAATGTTTAACTTTTAAATTACTTTCATTGAAGTGATTTCAATTTGGTGTTTTAGCCAATGTATTAATCTAGCTGATGAAAAACATTAGTAATCCCTAGGTGTCCTATAGCTTCATAAATTGAAGAAACCTGTAGTGAAAAGTTATTTGTATCTGTTACACATTCTCAGTAGAAATTTGATAGAAGGCACTTCATATTGATTCCTTGCAGCTGATAAACACATTTGACCCAGACCTCATGGCTTGTTGTATGAAAAATATGTTCCAAACTTGTTTTCTATTTAGGATTGTATTTTTATGTTGGAAGACAGTTTTGGTTTTTTTTGTTTTATTTTTTTGTCCCTTCCTTTATCTTTTAAGTCTGTCTTATATTTGATCAAAAAGCACAGGTCGAGATTGCATTATGAACTAAAAATTTCAAGTCGATAATTCTAAAAAGTCACATGAAATAAGAGAGCCAAGTCATATATGATCCTTCACAAAATGAATAAACCAAAAATTTAATTATTCTGAATCTAATAAAAGAATACCAGATAAATAAATTAAATTGCACTAACAATGCACAGAGTTAATTAAATATGTAATTATTATGGTTACTGTTTTTTTTAGTGAGAACTACGGTAATTGAAACAGATGTTTATGTTAACAGCATCGGTCCAGTTGACCCAATCAATATGGTAAGTTCTAATTATTGACAGAAAATATCATCTACATGTTTCTATGGGTTAATATTGTGAAATAATTCTAATCTCATTCAAAGAAGTTTCTATTTCTTACTGTGTGTATTCTTATGCTGTTGGATATGATTGTGGTTATTTCAGAGCTACATTTAGTCTCTCTGAAATTGTTGTAATTTTAAAAATACAGTGTTTCTTTCTAAAATGTGAGGTCACATTGAGGACTTTGTATCAGGTCCTTGTTTTAGTTTGTGTCGACTATTTCCACAATATTTGTGTATACCTGGTTTATCTCTGGCCCGGTTTGATTTCCTGGAGCTACTCTTCAGAGCCTAAGAAAAATAACAATTGACACAGCAGTTGTGAACAAAGCTATTTTCAGTGAAGTACCTGTTGTTTCGTTGGTTTTTCCTCAAATTCATAAAAAGCAAAATTTGAAATTAACTCTTTCGTTCTTCTTTTTCCATTTAGTCTTCTGTGTCCTTTTCAGTGTGTGCATGTGTGTGTGCATGACTGGTTTCTTAGAAGTTAAGAAATGCATCTCACCTGGTTTGTGGTACACCTGTTGAGACCTGACTGATCTGTTTAGTACCAGCATTGAAATAACAGCACTTATGAGGAAGTTGAGGATGTGGTATTTTCTTAGTTCTCTTAGATTGTGGGCTGTATGAAATGGTGGAGGCTTTAGAAAGGCCTTTTGGCATGACTTCTGACCAGAACTAAGATGGGGACTTGCCCCTGGGTGATTTTGAGTTTACCTCCTTTACTTGCTCCCTACAAAATTTCTGACAGTATTGAATTTGCATGGCAGAGAAGAGTTTTGTTCAGAGGCCAGAGCATGCCAGTGCAGGGGGCTTCTGAGCATTTTCCTTGAGAGTGCAGTAATTCTCAATTATTATTAAGGATCTTGTAGTTTACATGCTTGTCATCATGTGGGGGTGGAGAACAGTGACTTTCAGTGAGAGGAATCCAAGCCAGAAAAACCAGTGGTACGTAGATGCTGTGGAAAAAGGTGCAGATCTGTGGTAAAGGATATTCATTCTAGCATAATGGTCTAACCAGCTTAGGGCTGTTGTTACCTGGGGCTGTGGCAGGGAAGTCCATGTCTCAGGCCAAGACTGAATATAATGAAATACGTGATAGAGCATAAGAATGACCGAGTGGGGAACATTTTCCAGCTTCCATGTCTGGTGTAAGTGGTGTCTTTGTTTTTGTCTATCTCCCTTTTACAGTCTTTTCTCTTTTGCTTCTCTCTGTACAATCCTCTTCTGAAGGAACTGTGAGGATGTGTAAGGAGGATCTAGCAAGTGGTAGAGATTTCTTGTTCCAGTAACCTATGTAATCTCTTCAGCCTGTGGCCAGTAGGTGTTGCATACACTGGAAGTGAACATGGGAAATGCTTACAGCTTCGGTTTTCTAGTTTTAAAGAGCCAGAACACGGCTGGCTCTGCAGAATAACCCTGTCCCATCTCCCATGCCCTCCACTTGTCTCTGCAAGCCACTGGGCAGACATCCAGCTATGGCTCAGCTATGAACCATGACCTCTGGTGTGCCCACAGCTTCCTTGTGCTTACTCAGCCCAGGGCCTGGGAGTACCAGCTGTGGAACTGTTGCATGCCAGTTGTTCAGAGAGCTCTCCATGTCTGCCAGAGCTGGGTGGTGATGTCCTTGCCAAACTGCTAGTAAAAGCCAGTCATACTGGCTTATAGTCCAAGGTGAGAATTGGCATCCTACTGAAAAGGCAAATTACTTCACTAGAGAGTGGGATCCTAAGAGTTAATAGTTCATGTTTCTCTCCAATCTTCTGATTTCTCTTTAAAGAAAAAAAAAACAACAAAGTAAATGTTACTAAGATATAGAAGTTTGAAAACTATTCTATGCTTTTAAAAAATGGACAGAAATTTAAATTGCAGTCTAAAACTACTGTGGCCTTCATAAAAGGGCAATTGTTTTCACTGGAGTTGCACTTCAAGAACATGGCTTGTGTGAGCATATAACCTCAGTACAGAGATCAAACCTTTATAAAAATAAGTAAAACCATATACTTGAAAAGAATTTGATTTAGGTTAAAAAAAAAGTTTTTATTCTGGGGAACAACATTCTCAGCAAAATAAATAATAACAAATTTTGCCCTGCAAGCTCCTTTTATGTGAGCAGTTGATTTCATTAGGAAGGCAATTTCCCTGGAATCAATATTGTTTGAGATTTTTAACCAATGATCCAAAATTTGCTTCCATTTCAAGGACTGTCCTTAGCCCCTAATTTAATCACTTAATAAGAGAATACATTTTCTGTGATTTCCAATCCCCATTGGATTACTCATTTGCCAGATACATTAATTTATTCCGGTAAATTATGTCCTTTAACTATCAAGTTTGGATACAATATGGCTTGATGTAGAGGGTATTTTTTCTGACAGTGACGTTGAAGCAGCATATCAAAGGAGTACTTTTGTCTGAAAGCTTTAGAAAACACATACTATGAGAGGAAACAGATTTTTTTTGTCTATTTTCCTCTTGCTATATGATGAACTTCCACTTTCATAAATGAGGTCTATGCATGACATTCATTTGAGCTTTTTTTTGAAGGCTGTTTTATTTTGGCTTTTGCTATTTAGCAAGCTCTATAAAACGTTTTAGATTCTGTAGTCACCCCATGATCAAGATACATTTTCCTAGAGCTTGTGATCTCTTCAGGCATCTGCATCTTGAGTAAACACTTTAAACAAGTGTTTGGGTCAGTAGAGTATTTAGGCTTATAATACTAAGTCTAAATATTTTTGAATCTGTCTTTTAGAGCTAATTTGTGCTATGCATTGTGCAACAACCATGTAAAATGCAGCTAAGTGCCATAACATGGCACATTCAGGATTACCAGGGTATCAAGCCCAGCCAACAAGAACTTGTGAAAATAAGATCCATCTTGACCAACCTGATCTCCTTCTATGACAAACTGACTAGCTTAGCAGACAAGGGAAAGGCTGTGTTCTATCTAGCCTTCAGTAAAATATTTGACTCCATCTCCCACAGCATCCTCCTGGAAAAACTGGCAGCTCATAGCTTGGATGGGTGGACTCTAGAATGGATGGTCCCAGAGAGCTGTGGTGCATGGAGCTCAATTCTGTTGGTGGCCAGTTGCTAGCAGTGTTCCCCAGGACTCAATACTGGGACAAGTTCTCTCTTTATTTATGATGTGGATGAGGGGATTAAGGGCACCCTTAGTAAATTTGCAGATGACACTCACTGAGTGGGAGTGTTCATCTGCTTGAGAGTAGGAAGGGTCTGCAGGGAGACTTGGACAAACTTGATCAATTGGCTGAGGACTGCTGCAGAAAGGTCAGTAAGGCAAAGTGCTGGGTCCTGCACTTGGGTCACAACAACCTCATGCAGTGCTACAGGCTGGGGAAAGAGTGATGAGAGCTGTTCAGCAGAAAGGGACTTGGAGATGCTGGTTGACAGCAGCTGAACATGAGCCAGTGTGTGCCTGCTGGCCTGTATCACCAATGGCGTGGCCAGCAGGACTGGGGCAGTGATTTGACCCCTGTACTCAGCACTGGTGGGGCTGCAACTTGAGTGCTTCAGTTCTGGCTCTCTCACTTTAAAAAGGACATTGAAGTGCTGGAGCACGTCCAGCAAAGGGCAGTGAGACTTATGAAAGATCTAGAAAATATGTCTTAGGAAAAATAGCTGAGGGAGCTGGGTTTGTTTACTCTTGAGAGGCTCAGGGGGGACTTCATCACTCCATAAATCTCCTTGAAAGGAGGCTGGAGTGAGGTGGAGTCCAGTCTCTTCTACTGTGCCTACAGTGAGAGAACAAGAGGAACTGGCCTCAAGCTGAGACAGGTGATATTTAGATTGGATATTGAAAAAAAATTTTCCCTGTTTGGATGGTCAGGCATTGGAATAGGTTGCCTGAGGAGGTTGTGGAGTCTCCCTCAGCAGTCACCTGGAGGTGTTTAGGAGGTGTCTAGATCAGATGCTGGGTGATGTGGTGCGCTGCTTTAGGAGCTACAGTTCTGGGTTAATGGTCAGACTTGATAATCTTGCAGATCTCTTCAAACTTTGATGATTTGATGAATCTAAGTGCATTTTTATGAGCAAAATCTTGATCCTCAGTAGCTCTGCAGTTGTCTAGGGATTTCTTTACAGAGTTTAGATATGCAGTGGACATTTAGAGCATTTTTTTACTGTATGTAGAACACTATAAATAGAATAAGCTTTTACTTTCCAAACCTCCAAACTAGGGCCAAGATGAAAAGCAACCATTGTTTGGTGGTGATACAAATAGTAGAGTCTGGTATATTTGTCCCAGCACAAAAATGCATGTTGATCCATGCTGCCTGTTGGCCTCATAAGCTTTGTCTGTCCTGTATTCATCCCTCAAACCTTATATATTCATAAATATGTAAAGTTTTGTGCTACGGATGCCCCAAACTGTCCAAGGGAGAACCACATCAGCACCACAGCTTTTGTGGCTTTACAAGGATGTTCAAGTGCACAGTTCAGTTGGTTGGGAGAGGCATGGCACCCCTCCAAGACATTTCTACCTTCCTTTAACTAAGAGATGACCTTTTCTTGTAATTTCTGTTAGATCAAAACTCTTTTGACAATGAAAGACTGAAACCACAAATGAGAGGAATTTTTTGAGAAGGAATGCAGGTGCAGTTCCTTAAGTAAGAAGCAGAATTGGATCATTCTGTCAAAAATGAAGAACAAAGAGATAAGTTTATATTTCCCCTGTATTTGATGTATATTTACTCAAATTTCATTTGGTAAACAGATAGAAAGGAGCAGATTGTTTCTATAGAGATTCACAGACATTGTGACTGATAGACTAAAAACTAAAAGAAAGTACTCTACCAGACTGTTTATATCTGTCTGTACAAAACTGAATACATATATAAATATGTAAGTTTACAGAAACAAAATGATGTTTTTAAATTTCTTTGCTATTAAAAGAGCTTCTAAATAATGATTTAACACTTTGAAGCATTCTGATAT